CAATAGTTATGTCTCCTATTTGACGTGGCGACTAATGCCACTTAATCCCGCAGTAGTCGTTAAACTAATAAAAATCAAGAGGTATTATGCGCTACCGGGTGGCCTCTTACTTCTCATTAACTGCGAGATGGACTTACGGGTTTTTTTATTTTACGTCCAACCTGATTTTCTCTGTAAGCGATCACCTGATACGTGATCGTTTCCACGAGCCGGGCAATATATCACCTCGTTATTTTATGGATCGTACCTCGTTAGCTGACGGAACGAATGATCTTACCTTTGCAACGCGTGTCTGCACGAATAGCTGCACAAAATTCATGTGCTCAAGCGATATTTATAATAGTTCTTACATATTTGAAAGATGGTGCTTTAAATTGAAATAGCAAAATATAATATTTAGAGAACATATATTCATATATTTTAAATCTTAAAATAGAGGATTAAAATAGAGGAGAGAGCATTATATAAATTATATGAGATATTTTATACAATCCGATAATGTGTAAGATATATAATCTCAATGCAATTAAATATCTTTTGCTCGTTTTGTTAATAAGATTTACATTTATGTTATTTATATTTTCGGTAAATGCCGGAAAATCGGGCGAAACATCTAACGGCGAGTTTGTAAATCTTTCGGACTCGAGGTAGAGATAACGAGCTGAAATGTTTTCATAGAGCTTGTTTCTTCATAGTATATACTTCGGAGACATTTAGTTTCGGTTTGAGTTTGCCGGAGAGAAGAAAGTTCGCCTCTGTCGCCGCTGGCAACTCGACATGCCGAACTTGCCGTAGGAATTGGTCGTTTTTAAAAAGTCAACAACTACCAACCGGGCGATTGTTTAAACCCTCTAACGATTGTTCAAGTCGTTAAGGATCCATTAGGGGCTTCGGACTCGGTAGACCGCGCAAATTTTCCGCCGCTCGGAGTCCCGGAGTCTCTCTCTCGTTCCTCGCTTCCTGCGCTTTAGCGATGGCAAATTAATTCAAATTTTCCCGGTTGGTTATAGTAAGTTTTTGCTAACGGGCGTTCTTTCGCCGGAAAATTTCCCCGTAGACCATAATAGCTATGCAGCTATGTTTGAGAGCTTTTAGTTTGTTACTTTGGCATGCAATAAATCGCCATTATTGTCGAAAACAGTGTTTACTTGGCGGATTAAAATGTAAATTAACTAACAATCGCGAGTAAATGATAATAGATAGACGAGAGATTTAGTTAAATTTTGGAACAAATTTCTCAAAGATTGTTAAAAGAAAATGGTAAAAATCTGTGAGATGATTAAATCAATAAAAATAATAATCGACATAAGAGAAAAACAACAATAGCAATACTATTTAATCGCGCAGTTTAGAAAGCAATTTAAATCAATTAAAACATACTTGAAGGGTCTGCTGTCAGTGTGTGCAACTGACTTAAGTGTACAAGCATCCTTATCGCCCTCCCCTGCCTGTTAGGATTACGATGGAGCAGTTAAACATCGTAAAAGGTTAAGTTCGTTTTTACGCTGTGTATCTCTTTGAATTACGTCACAAGTTTGCACGGCACATTTTTTACATCGACCATTTGCTTAATGAGGAATCAGGAGGACTTCGAGCCGAGGAGGAAAGATTTAAGGGATCACGGAGGGTCGTTTCTGCGTTTCTACGTTTCGGCTTTTCTCCGGCATCCCCCATCCTTCCCACTTAACTCTCGCACTCGTTTCTCTTCCACGCTTTTTATACTCATGCTTTTTGCGAAGTATCTTTGTCGAGCGATCGCATTCGTTATGTGACCTCTTCTACGAGAGGTAGTTTGTCTTTCAAATTGCCTTCTAGCAGCATGACGATTTTATTTTCAATGTATTCTTTATGACAATATGCAGGGACACGTTTTCATTAATGGACACACATTGCTACCTGCTGCACATAATAGATCATAACCGAATAGCTTGACTTTTCCGTAATAAATTCTGTCGAAATGAGCATTGGATAATTGAGGAACACGTTTTCAAAATTTTGCGGGATGCAGCTTTGTACCTGATGTCTCGAAACTATCTCAAATCCTTCCAATCTGTGTAACATAATTTGGAAATATCTTATAATAAAACTTTGATATATATAACACTACGTATTAAATTTGTATAAATTTGTCGTAGCATAAATATTTATTTCTTTATTATGAACAAGTAACAAATAAATAATTTTATTAATTTATAGTTTCGACAACTCTCTCTCTCTCTCTCTTTCTCTCTCTCTCTGTCTATAAATCTCTTTCCTCTTTAACGTCGTAAAATATTGATATTTATAAGCTTTGATATTAAATGAGCGAAAATACAGATAGGCATCTTGATAAATTTAAGCATTCCTAAAACCTTGAAATTCGTATCGCCTCGAGTCTGCACACTAATTAGACCGTAGTTTCACGCATGTTTGACTTTCTTGACTAGCGTAGCTCGTCGTCAGAAACGCGAGAGGTGTCTCTGTCGTATATCGCTTTGGCAAGATCGCGGTGCAAACTGCCGAGAGCAATTAAGGCACTCGTTAATTACTGTTTTAACCGACATCAAGGTGCGTGTCGCTCCTCCTTAGCACAATGGGAATTCACGAAGAAAGGCACGCGTTTCTGTTCATCAGATACGAAGAACTACCTGGGTTTAGCGTGTACGACAACTATCGCGTCTTTCCATATTCTGAGCCAGAGATGTACTATTAAATCGATATAGAAAATCGAGTCATTTTTAAATATTAAATGTCGTTAAATATTAATTAAAAAGCGTGTTATATCATATTGTTTTATTGAACAGTTTTCTTTCCAGCGCCTTTCTGCGATTTTCTTTCCACAGAATCGCATGCTCGCAGTCAATTCGATACTTATCAGCGCACGTGTCACCTGATCTACTTTCTTTGTATCCTACCTGCTTACTCACCGCGAATGGCTCATACAGTCGCGCGAACTTTGCACGATATATTTTCTTTTCCGTGGAACAGGTACTTTTATGCGATATCGGACTGCCCGATTCGTCATTTAAGTACATGACGCATATTGTTAGAAATTGCTATAGCCTACGAGCCATACTGCGCGAAACTACGTTGCAGTTAATAAACAGATCGATTCATTGCTCCGTCTAGTCTAGGCTGTTCCGAGTTAAACGTGCGAAGCATAATGCTATAACAATGTTTCTTTCGATAGTCAATAGCGCGTTCATTCGCACGAAGTGTGCTATATTCGATGAAATCAGAATACCGTGAAAGAACAAGTAGAACATTTTCTCATAACGTGAGAATATATTGGATTTCTTTCAAGAAATAGGTTTATCGTGCAATAACTTTTTATAAGTTACTTTGAACGTGTTGCCGACAATATTTTAGTTTACGTAAATTTGAGAACTATTTAAAAATAATTCAATATTTATTTAGAGATGTGTGGTATTTCTTTTTAGTTCTGTGTACAAGATTGACATTAACAACTCTACAAAAAAAAAAATTGAACATTGCACCGACGTAATATATCGACATCACGATCGGATTGCGCCAAGAAAAACAGACAATTGGAATTTTCAGCGATCGCACTTGGAATTATTCTTAAAGTTTGAGCAAAGTATGCGAGATTTTCGCACGCAGATGTTCCTTCCTCGGAGGCGCTATAAACCGAGATTGACATCAAATGAAATCGGTGGGAAGCAATCTCAGGGAGTGGGGAAAGAGAGCAGAGGGGGAAATAGGTCTTCGAGAAATAAGAAAACTTTTGTTCCCGATCAGCCATTACCCTCCGCGTTGCGATAAGAGACGAGAGAGAAAGAGGTCGCCGTTCCTTTTTTTCTCTTTTTCTCACCACTCCTCGCTTTTTCCAACACGCTCACTCGCCGGCTGCACAAAGTCGGCTGTTTCATTTTCTTAAGAGGGAGCCGAGATGCGTCGAGGGGGCTCGTTTCAAAGGCACCTGGTTTTCCTTCGCTCGATAAATCGTGCATTCCTCTCGTCTCGCTGCCGCCATAGCCTCGTTACTTTCGTCCTACTCCGTATCGTTCGTCGAATTCTGCAAATACGTGAACTTTTGAGCGATCGGCAAGAAACACTTTTGATCGTATGGAAATGCTTACGTTCCATTAACGGGGACGTCATTTGAATGTCTTTTACCTTTGACGATGCGTTTTCGTATGTTCGCCGAATCGAGAAGCCCAATTATTACGTTTACATTCTGTTATTTATTTCGTATTCTTTATGCATAAATGCTCTTTAGGTATTTTTAATAGAACTTTTAGAAGTGCGGTTTCCAACATTACACATTATTGTCTCCCTTATTATTATTCTTGATTCTTATCAGATTGTGGCAATAATTGTTCCGTGTCGTTGCACTAATTGCACCTTTCCCTTCGATCGAAAATAGATTGCATCGCGTGCAAGAGGTGCTCTCACCTTGAGTTCAAGAAGATAATCGTTACAATTATGCGTAGTGAATGCTGTCTCATGCATATAATTTCTCGCTCCTCGGTGGTGTAGATAATAGCTGCATTACAGCAGATAAACGTCTGTTACGCGAGATAAATCGCATAAAAAAAAAATGGCAAATCTCAAAGGCGGTATCAACTCGTAATATCGAATCGGTAAAAATTGTTTTCTTTTGTCTCACGAATTTAAATATTAGATATAATAATTAGATAATTAAGAGAGAAGGGATTTCTCATTACACAAATATATTCCTTTCCAATTAATTTTATTTATGTAAATATTCCCATTTATTTTATGTAAATGAAAATCTAATAAAGATGTACATAAGAGAAAGAGAGAGAGAGAGAGAAGGAGATTTTTCTAAACACATATAATTTATCTAAAATATGTAGCTGGTTATTTGTTGACGATTTAACTTATCAAGTATGCTTCACCGTACGATAACCGCCAACTTGTTTCCTCTTTTGCAGGCCTGGGCGAGGTTCAAGGAAGAGACCGCCCCCGCCAGAATCGTCGGGCAGCGCGGAGGAGGAGGAGGAGGAAGAGGAGAAAGAAGGCGCAACGGAGCCTGTAGCGTGGAAGTAGAATAGACATGTTGTCAGTCTTCCCGGCAGCGACGACGGAGATGATGAGAACGGCGCGGTCGGTGGTATCGCGGCCGCGCCGACGATGCTGGTATCGCTCGCCACTGCTGCTGATTCTAATCCTGACGCTGTCGCTATCGTCACGGTTGCCGACGGCGCACTCAGTGCCAGCCGATATAGTGCAAAAGTTTCACGATCCGGAGGTGGAGCGCATGAATCATCTGGTGGTGGACAAGAACACCGGCCGGGTGTACGTGGGCGCGGTTAATCGGCTCTATCAGCTGTCGCCGGATCTACTGCTCGTCGTGAAGGAGGTCACAGGACCGAAGGGCGACTCCACAGCATGCTCGATGCTGGACTGCCCCCGCGAGGCGCAGAAGCGGCCGGTCGACAACGTCAACAAGGCGCTGGTGATCGACTACACCACCACGCGGCTCATCTCGTGCGGCAGCCTGTTTCAGGGCATGTGCACGGTGCGCAATCTGCACAACATATCGGACGTAGTGCAGGAGGTGAAAGAAGCGGTGGTGGCTAACAATGCCACAGCATCGACGGTCGCGTTCATCGCTCCCGGTCCGCCAAACCCGCCGGTCTCGCAGGTCATGTACGTCGGCGTGACCTTCACCGGCAATTCGCCGTATCGCTCGGAGGTGCCGGCGGTGAGCTCGCGCTCACTCGACAAGGACAAGATGCTGAACATCGCCGAAGCGGCGGTCACAACCGGCACGCGTATGTACGTTAATTCTCTGTCGCGCGAACGCTATCCCATCAATTACATATACGGATTCAGCAGCGGCGGCTTCAGCTACTTCCTCACCACGCAGATGAAGAACACGGAGACGCCGATCTATCTCTCCAAGTTGGTGCGCGTGTGTCAGGACGATGAGCACTATTACTCGTATACGGAGATACCGATCAACTGCACCAGCGACGAGCGTATCTACAACTTGGTGCAAGCCGCTTACGTCGGCAAGGCCGGCTCGGTATTAGCTGGTGATCTGGGTATCACCGCACAGGACGACGTGTTATTCGCCGTGTTCGCCGAGAGCGACGGACCCAACAGCGACGTGCCACGACCGCATTCGGCTCTATGCGTCTATTCCCTCAAGGCGATCCGCCGCAAGTTCATGAGCAATATACAGAGGTGTTTTAGCGGCGAGGGACAGCGGGGCCTGGAGTTTATCTCACCGAGCCACAAATGCATATCAACGGTGAGTCATTTTCAACATCTTAATTTAGTCACTGTCACTTCTCCGACGTGTACGCAATCTTCAAGATGTCACTCGACATCGTACTCGCGTTATCTGCAGAAGCACGAGAAATTTTAGACGTGAAACGCGCGGCATTCAACGAACGCCAAATATTCCGCGATTTGTATTTACTCAGTTTTGATATTTTTTATACATTTGTTATCGTTTTGCGGATAATATTTTATCTGCAGCATATCGAAAATCGACGATAGATTTTTACAAATTCTTGAATTAATATTGACAATCATCAATGAATTGGAAACTTTGTGATAAACGTTGCAAAATTTGTAGTAATTTTAGAAACATATTATACATTATTCGAGACAGCGAAGATATTTCATCTCGAATAAGACACGAGTCTTTTCTAAACAGAAACTTTAGTTTATCCCGCTAATTTATTGAAGTAATTCGCGCAAAGCGCGCCGTAAATCGCGACTTTTATCGCGATAAATCTTAAATAAAACGAATTGATTTATCTTAAGCCGTGAGAGGTTCGCGCGGCTATAAGAATATCGTTATTCCCTCGCTGAAATCTCTTGTTACTTCCTCTCTTCTTTATGACGCTCGCGGTGGATTGATAGCTCGTTTAAATGAATTGATATCTCACAGTGAGGCTCATGCCGGTCAACAATAATTCGCGGAAGGTGGTTGACGCGTACTACGGTACTCGATAACTCGGCATCGCGAGGGTATCAGTGCCATCGCTAGGCGGAATTATAACCATACGGCGTGAGGCCGCACGGTGGTGCTTTCCGTTGTTGAGCGGCTGAATGGCCGTCAGGTGGGAAGACCACCTCCCGTTGCAAGAAGGACGCGATTCGTCCTCCTCGATTATTATGACGCAAATCAATCGGTCGCGTCTCGCGAAGCGGCTGTGTTTTCTTTCTCTCTTATTCGCATTTACGTAACAGGTGGCGTCGAAAAGGCTGAAGGAGGTAAAACGCAGGACTCGCCTCGTATTAAGCGCCATATGCTCCTTTCACACACGCGCTCGCGTCATTCGTGCGGTACTCGCGCGCGAAAACAGTCTCTTTCCTCGCTGCATCCGCCTGCATAGACTACAATCGCGTTTCCGTCTCGAGAAATTGCGAAATATTTATTATCGTATACAATGAAGTTTAGATACGGACGAACGTTATTGTTTGGTAATTTTATCGGGATCTGCGAAGATGCGTACGCTATTATATTTATTCATCATGTGATTTGGAAAATTTCGTTTAAGGTGAAATCGAAAATGGATACAAGGATATTATTTTATATATTTAATTGCGTGGTTATGTTAAAATATGCATCATAATGCAGATAAAGTATATTTAACCGCAATTATCGAATCAAAATTCAAATTAAACACGCGTCACGAATATCGCTCGAGTCGGCTCGGTTATCAATTTATTATATCGAGAATGCGACCGAACTTTTATTCGCTTTTACGGTTGTCCGCAATCTCATCTGGCGCAATTAAACCCTCTAATGAGATTGCGAATTCGGGCGCAAAGCCTTTCTCCGGATCCGCACGCATCGTCGACCTGTGCGGTGAATTCCATAATTTATTATCGTATCAAGCCCGGACGTCTTATTGCGATTTTATTGTAAACGACCAACGGCAATTATAGCCTGCGAATTTTTTCGCACGTCACAGATAGAAACGCGACGAAAGTGCAGCTCTTCCGTTTTGCCGCGCCATTTCCTGCCCGCAACTACCGAGACTATTTCTTCGCGATCGATTGCTGTCAATCGTCGGCGGTTAACCAAAACTCATACAGAGCGCCGATGAATCTTCGGTTTTGCCGACCGCTTTTCTTGACATACGCGATGTATGTATATACAAGGCATTTTGTTATACACACGACTTTGACCGAATTTCGCGATTCATGCTCGTCTCAATAAGCGGAACATTTCTCCCGAAGTAACCGTATTGCGAAGTCATCGATGGGGAGGGAGCGAAGTGGACTCGATATTAAATTAGGTGGACACACTTACTATTCGGCTTTGTCGAATTAATTTCACCGTGACGACAGAGACGTGCTTGTAACGAACTATTGCCGTTGATGTATTGTAGTACTCTACATTTGTATAAGTATTTTTTAACGGGAATGAAAGTAGATGTAGAGTAAAATTAATCTTGTGTCCGACATACAGTTGGATATTGCAGATATAATGCTATTTAGAAAGTAAATACGATTTTGAAATATATATTTTAGTTTCTCGGATTCTCTCTTTTAAGATTTTTCGAGATTGCGTACTAGATTGTACATCGTACATTATTATACACTCAAAAAAATATTTCGCTGATGTAGTTAGATTTCTAGATATCGCAACAAGAATGTATCGCTATTTTTCGTATCTGTGAAAACATTGTTTGTCACATATAGAATTTATAGCAGTAATGTTCTAGCAATAGCTTCTGAAAAATTTAGGTACCATTGCTAAATGTTATTCATTGCATGATCTAACACGTGATTGATCTTATACAGATAGGCGCTTTAGAGAAACTTTCTTTTTAAAGTTCACAAACAATACAGATATATATTCTGTTTCTGTCATCTAAACTGATTAAGTAATTACATATGCAATATCACAACAGTTGCTAATCATTTATCTGTTTTAGTTAATTTTTTACACCTAGAAAATTTTAGCTATTATTGCAAGATCATTTTTTTGAGTGTATATAAAAATATTAATCGTTTCCTGAATTTCGTAAGGATATCAAAACAGAATGAGATTTAATCTAGATACCTGCATCTTAAAGATATTTATCATATAATGTACTTCATTTGGCGATAGTGTTAATTTTTTTTTTCCGGAAGCGATATGTGAGTTAAACTTTGTTAGTTTCACTTTCCTGTCAGCAAACTGAAAGTTTCTACACGAGCAATAAAATTTCGAAATCTTATATCACATTCTTTCACATCTACAGTCTCGCGGGAAAGTAATATTAGTTGAATTGAACAATTTATCGTCATTTGTACGTCGCCTGATGCTTGATCTCAATTTACCGGGAAGTTTCGCGACAATTTCTCGACGCGTGTCGATGTACATAAATTTGGTATTCCCGACGTAAACATGGTATCAAGATCAATAGTAAAAGACGCAATAAATTTTTATATACGATAGTAGGCAAACCTACGACATGCAGGCAAAGTAAGATCAACATGAACTTTAGGAGAAATTGATCAGGATGGATTATGCTGGGAAGAAATAAAGGAGATATCGTGAAAGATTTCGCGAAATATTCAATTTAACACATTTATCTCAATTGTTTGATATATTTTAGCAAATTTAAGAGAATTATTTATGGAGGAAACCATTCATCTTGCGCGGAACAATTTATCTTCGATATCGGTTAAACGATATAAGACTTCTTTCTCTCGCGGCCGGCGGCGCCGGGGTCGGGAGAGGGGAGGCGACACCAAAGGTTTCTAAACGGCGCTTATAACGATGCTTGCCCGTATTATCGTCGCGCGAGATGCATCGACACGCGTTTCATAAAACTTTATCGGAACGGTACTTAGAACTGTTTCTGGTGCCCGCTTAAAGATGCGGAACGTTATGCAGAGTCTAGCAAAATGATATTCACGACGCGATGCGAGATTTATTCAAATTTTCTGCGTTTCGTCTCGCTTTCTCCCTCTCTCTTTCTTCCTCGCTCTCTCCTTTCTCTGCTACCTTTCTCTCCCGAAACTTTTTCTCCGCGCCGTGAGAACGTATGCCAGGAGAACACAAAGGATTTCTTTGCGCGAGAAGGCGAGAAAAAGACGCGGAACCTGCCGGCTAAGAATCAGTCGCCGGACGGAGATAAGCGGGCAGCCATAAAGGAGATAAAGATTGTTTGTTTGGTCTAGCCGACGACGGAGCTGCCGTGGGACAACGCGTTCGTTTTTTTTTATTCTTATTTTCTCCTCTTTCTTCCTTGTTCCATCACGGCCGACTCTCAAAGCGCTCTCCACTTCCTGCGCTTCTTATTAGAACGAACGACCGCAAGATTCCGGTCGAACGGAAACGACGAATTCATTGTACGCGCGTGTGTTTCACGCATCTGGCTGATCGAAGATCGTGCTTAGTCTTCGTGAACAGTTAGACTTAACGTCGGAGAGAAGGTATAAATATCAAAATAACGAAGTTGACCATTAATTCTAAACTTAACAAGACATATCCTTTCAAATAAATTTTCTACAATCTTTTAAAAGAATTGTGTTTGAAAAGTGTTTTTGCAAATTGACATAAAACATTCGCGTAATATTCAGTTACATTTATATAAATCTTTTCTCATAATTATTTTGTAAGGAAATAGCATTTAGAAAAACGTGCCAACTTTAAAAGCTTCTAGATGTTTATGAAGCTGTCATATGTACTTTATACAGTAATAGATTAGTCGAAATATCTGTATTTGGCATGCGTAAAGCTGTCAATCACCGCGGCTGCATTTAATCTAAGAAAGCGAAACACGAAGAGGACAGATAGAGGGAGAACGGATAAAGAATGAAGCATGAAAGGAACCGGTTCCTCTCCCGAATTTCGTTGTGTATGCACGACATGCACGAACACGACGTATCCACGTCCGTGAATGTACCGTAGCTATGTGGATTCAATTTTTACGTCACAAAAGAATCGCGGCAAAGGGGTCGACACGGACATAGGCAGGAAAAGCGTTCGAGGAAAACCCATTCGCGCAAATTGGATGGCCTCCTCTCGCTTCGACCATTGGAGTGAGCCTCGCAATTAAAAAGTTTTGCCCGCCCAAAAAAAAAAAAGAAAAAAGAAAAAAGGAAACACACTCGCGACTCGTAGGTGATGTAAATGTAGTGCAGCTTCGCGGGATTTTTTCCTTCCTGTTCTAAAAACGGAACGCTCGTATATGAAAATATTGCTCGTGCTAGATTGTCGTGGAAGATGAGGTTTGATCGATTTGCATCAAGAACGGAAGATACATGGATAAATCGAAATAGAGCGAAAAATTAGAT